TTTATTAACTACTTCTTTTGTGCCAATACTTCACACACTTTGTTCTTACTTAGTACTCCCCAAATTCTTTGAGGTAGATACTGTTGTTATAACCATTTTATAGTTGTGGAAAATGAGCCTAGAATATTTAAGTAACTTGCCAAAAGTCTCAGAGATAATAAATAACAGAGCTAAGATTTTAATCCATGCATGTCTGACTTAAAGGCCCCAACTTTTCACCAGTGAGCTATTCTATGTTCTCTTTATATCATTACAGCCCACTGATTTCCCAAAACAATGCATTACACACACAGTAAAACCAACTGTGTTGAAGTAATACTGCATTAGCTGAAAAAATTCAATCTTAAAAGTTTTATAGGAATTGAAACTGTTAAACTAAGTACTTTTAGTGGTTTCTCAGCAAATGACAATCAAATCATTACTTTAAGTATCATATGTTGAAAGTTTAAGCTTGGAGATAGGCCATTAAAAAGCAAAGGTTAAATGTAGCAAATTTGATTATCCTGGAATCATTCAGTATTTTGTGCCTCCTGATAGGTATGTCTGTAATTTAACATAAGTATGAATAAAAGATTATAGAATGATGACCTTATCTCAGCTTACTTTAGTGAACTTTAAATTTTCATCATAAAATATTATGCTTAAATACCTAGAAAAGATACTAGGAGAATAAAAAGATATTCATAAAGATGCTTAGCTGAAAATCAGCATGTTAGATTTAAGAGAAATATTTCCTTATGAAGTCTATGTTATTTTCATTATTTTTATTTTTTTCAAAATATATTTTAATTGACTTTCAGAGAGAGGAAAGGAGAGGGAGAGAGAAGGGGGCGGGGGGGGGGGGGTGGAAGTGGAAGGAGAGAGACAGGAAGATAAAAACACCAATAATGAGAGAGAATCATTGATTGGCCACCTCTTGCACACCCCACACTGGGAATCCAGCGCACAACTGGATCATGTGCCCTGACTGGAATCTGACTGTGACCTCCTGGCTTATGGATCAATACTCAACCATTGAGCCACACAAGCTAGATAGTTATTTCCATCTATACTAATAAAAGGGTAATATGCTAATTAGACCAGATAAACTGGACATCTTCCGGACATCATTCTGGATGTCCTTCTTGACAAAGCTGGAGCCCAGGCGAAGCTGCTCAATTGGACATTCCCAATTGGAGAAGGTGCAGGCCAGGCTGAGAGACCCCACCCCCATGCATGAATTCCCTAGTTTTTAAATAAAAGCTGTTGAGAAAAAAAGATAGCAGCTGGCAGGACGGAGGTGAGGGAGAGGATGTGAGTGAGTGAGTGAGTGAGTGAGTGAGTGAATGAAAGGAGAGTGTGTGGTGTGTATGAGTGACTGAGAGACAGTTAAAGCCGGCAGCAGCAGCATGGGTGCTCTGGCAGGAGCACCAGGTCTCTTGGATAGGGAGAGACTACCACTGCTGCGGGCAGTCCCAGGCTGCGGGGCTCGGACACGGAGCCCATGCCATCTTGAAGGGGAGAGCAGCCTCTACTAGGAACTCAGGACCACTACCCAGACAGGCCTTGGATACTGCCCACAACCCAGCAGCCTCTCCAGCCAAAATCCTGCTGCCTCACCAGCAGACTCGCGGGCCCTGGGACCTCCACCTCTAAAGGTGCACCACTCCCACAGCAGTAAGTGCGACTTCCCCCTCCCCAGTGGCAGACCTCCGGACACCACAGTCGCGTGTTTCCAGTGCACAGGCCTCCTGGGCAGACCACTCCGCTGGCAGCTCTTGGATGCCACGTTGGGTGTGATTTTGAACAGACAAGGGTGTGCTGCTCCGCAGTAGAAATTCTGAATCCCCGCTTCATGAATAACTGCCCACAGACACCCCAGCTGTGCAACTTCAGTGCCAGGACCCCTCAGAGAGTGTCAGAGCTCCGTGCCAGCAAACGCACTGCCACAGTCACAGGCAAGTGTTTCCAGTGCGCAGGCCCCCTGAGCCCATCGACCCACAGGGCGCACTTGGGAGCCGCTCTGAGCCCCTGCTGGGTGCGATCTTGGACAAATAGGGATGCATTCCCCCAGCGGTAGAAATTCACTCATCCTGGATACCTGCCCACAGGGAACTCGATTGAGCAGCTTCAGTGCCAGGGCCCTTCAGAGTGCCTCAGTGCACTGCGCTGGCAAACGCACCTTTGAGCCGCTACTGGGAGCATGAGCATATCCAACCATGGGCACAGCAACAAAAACTGAGTCTTCCCGCCCCACGGCTGTAGAACTCTGGACACTACAGTCGTACGCTTTTCTAGTGCACAGGCCTCCCAAGCCCACACTCCAAAGGCAGCTCTTGGGCACCACTGAAAGCCCCCACTGGGCGCACACTTATACAAACGGGCACACTGCTGGGGTGTAGAGACTCTGAATTTCCTCTTCTGGGATACCTGCTCACAGACACCTTGATTGTGTGGCTTCAGCGCCAGGGCCCTTAAGAGTGCGTCAGCACACCCTGCTGGCAAACACAGCATGGGCGCCCCTGTCAGCCACCACAGGGCCGTGCGTATCCAACTATGGGGGCAGCAGCAAAAGCTGAGCCTGCCCACCCCACAGCTGTAGAACTCTGGACACCACAGCCATGCCTTTCCAGGGCATAGGCCTCATGTCCCCACTACCCCAACAGATGGCTCCTGAGTGCCACTGTGAGTCTCTGCTGGACACGTGCAATTTCAACCAAGGGTGCAAGACAGCAAAAATTGGGACACCCCACTCCATGGCTGCTGACTTCTAGACACCGCAGTTGCACCTTTCCAGCTCACAGGCTAACATCAAGAGAACCAAAATAGTTCAAGTAGGGAGCTACACTAGATTACCAAGCCCAGTAGACCTGAGAGATCACACCAGTAGCACCACCCCCAAAAAGAGCCTGGGTAGTAAAGCAATGGGTCTACAATTAAAATGTTACAGCAAAACATGGGAAGACAAGAAAGCAATCCCCAAAGGAAAGAAAAAGAGAAATCACCAGAAAGGGAGTTAAATAGTTAAATGAAATTGAAGCCAGTAATATGTCAGAGAAATAATTCAGAGTAATGGTTATAAGGATGCTCAGACAGCTGGATGACAAATACACACAACTCAACGAGAATGTCACCAACATGAAAAGGAACCAAGAGGAAATGAACGACATAGCTGCAATCAAGTATGTAATGGAAGGCTTAAACAATAGACTAGAGAGGCTGAGGACCACATCAGCAAATTAGAAAACAAGGTAGGAAAAAAACACACAAACACAGCAGCAACTGGACAGAAAATTTAAAAAGTAGAGGAGAGGCTAAGGGAGCTTTGGGACAACACAAAATAAAACAACATTTGCATAATAGGGATACCAGAAGAAGAGGAAGAGAAGCAAGGAATAGAAAACCATTGGTCTATATGTCTGTTCTTGGGCTAGTACCAGACAGTTTTGAGAACAGTGGCTTTGTAATATATCTTGATATCTGGTATTGAGATCACTCCTACTTTGTTTTAGCTACTATTAATCATAGTAGTTGGAGTAGCAGTAGTATATACTCAAATCCTATATAGTAAAGAGGTGATATGCAAATTGACCATCACTCCAACACACAAGATGGCCACCTCTATGTGGTCAAAGGTGGCCACCCCTACGTGGACACAAGATAGCTGGCATGGGAGGACAGTTGTGGGCAATCAGGCCAGCAGGGGAGAGCATTTGGGGGCAATCAGGCCTACAGGGGAGGGCAGCTGGGGGGTCCCGGCCTGCAGGCGAGAGCAGTTGGGGGTGACCAGGCTGGAAGGGGACGGAAGTTAGGGGCAATTGGGCCAACAGTTAGACATCAATCAGGCTGGCAGAGGAGTGGTTAGGGGGTGATCAGGCTGGCAGGCAGAAGTGGTTAGGGGCAATCAGGCAGGCAGGCAGGCATGCAGTTGGGAGCCAACAGTCCTGGATTGTAAGAGAGTTCCAAGATTGGAGAGGGTGCAGTCTGGGCTGAAGGACACACACACCACCACCATCACCCCCTACTCTACCCCCGTGCGCAAATTTTGTGCACCAGGCCTCTAAGTATATACATGTATAAACTAATAATTTAATTAATTATTGTGTCCTGCAGTTACTTTTATAGATAAAATGGTAGAAATAAGAAATAAAATTTAGCTGAAATCGGTTTGGCTCAGTCGATAGAGCATCGGCCTGCAGACTGAAAGGTCCCAGGTTTGATTCTGGTCAAGGGCATGTACCTTGGTTGCAGGTGTGCAAGAGGCAGCTGATCGATGATTCTCTCTCATCGATATTTCTAACTCTCTATCCCTCTCTCTTCCTCTCTGTAAAAAAATCAATAAAATATATTTTAGAAAAATAAAATTTATATTGCAATTATTTAAAACCCTTAAAATATAAATGACCATTGTTCAAACTGGACTGTGGGGTCTGGGTTAGTTGGTGGCCCGCTTGGTGGCCGGGGGGCTGCTCGGAGTGTTTCGCTGGGAGTGCCAGAGATGCAGAGCATGGCCGTGATTCCAGGGTCCCCAAAGCTCACCAGGGGGAGGAGCCCAGGTAATTGTGCTGTACTAGATGCCATTCTCAGAGAGAATAAAGACATGCTTTCCATAGACACACTGTACGGTGGTAAGTAATAGTCCTCTTTAAATGACTAACAACTCTCATACCACAGAATTGTTGGCAAGAATCTAACTCAGTATATTAATTTGTCAGAAGAGGGAGGTATAATTTTTCCGCAACTAGATTAGGTTGCTCGTTTGCTGACATAGGAATTAGAGTTTTAAAAACAGTAATTGCTGGTACTATTTTTTTCCCCAGATAGTCACCTTCCAAGTAGTTAACTCCAAGTAATCTAAAATTATTTTCCCTGTCCCACCGACAGTGTATCTCCTCTCTCCTGAATCTCTTCCGCTCAGCCTTTTTACTATTAAATTCAAAGGATAATGATGGCAAGCAGTTCGTGAGTCAGTTGATGTGTGCTGGGGAGACGTATAGAACACACTCTCTGTTCTTTTCCAGGCCAGAGCTTACCTGCGGATAGCTGCAGAAGTGGTCAGAAGATTGCCACCGCCCCTGCAGTGACTCCCACAACTTACCTGCTGCATGACCAGAAGGAGACCTTTAGGAACAGCAGTGTGATGGTAATTCCTACAGGAATAATAGCAATCACAGAAATAGTAGCAACCTTGTATTTCCAAGGAAATCATGTCTTATCTTCAGGTTTGATTTGCCAAACAATGACTCAGATAAATAAAGTTTTTGCATTATCAGTGCTAAATATTACATTTAGGAATTGTTTTGAAAGTTGATGTGAACCAACTGCACAAAAGTGCATTGTATTGTATTGAGCTACCCTTTGAAGAATCATGAGTTTATATTACAAGTCCAACATTCAGTTCAGGAGAAAACTGCACTCTTTTTAAAGGATTTGCTAAATTTGTATAAGGACACAAGTGTGACACCCTCCACCAGACAGTTTGGTATGGGTTTGAATCCTGCCTCTAATACTCCGTTAAACATATTTTTAATGTAGATTAAATCTCTATTTCACCTGGACCTGAGCTTACCCTAGACTTAATCTGAATCTCCAGGGATAGGGCCTGAACATGTGGATTTTAAAAAATTTTTATTTTAGTGTTGCTAGTATTACAGATGTTCCCATCCCCCTTCTCCCAGGCCCTGGACATGTGTATTTTTAACAAGATTCTAATGATTTTGATGAATCATATGATGTTAATAATAGCAATAAGAATTAACATGTATCAAGTGTTTTCTTGTGTCTTTATGTTAATCTTCCTTTCATATGAGGGTGGGTAATGTTGCTATCTTCATTTTACAGATGAGAAAACTGAGGTATAGGAAAGTTAAGTGTCTTCTCAAGGGTTACTATTTTAGGAAAGCATGGATCTGAGATTTATACATGGGCACTTGTATTAATGGATCCCTCCTTTTTAAAAAGGTGCATTTGTTTATTTCAAAAGAGGAATATAGTATGCAGCATTTCCTCAAACTCACTTGACCATGAAACTCCCTATTCTCACACCCACCTTTTAGAAGGAGTTCATTTTTTTAAAATTCATTTTTCAAAAAATACACTTTGAAAAATGTGTATCTTGTCTAGTTGAGGCTAAGAAAGAGAGAGAGAGAAAGAGTGAGTGTGTGTGTGTGTGTGTGTGTGTGTGTGTGTGTGTGTGTGTCAGGGGCTTCCCAGGTTCAAGTAGCAAGATAGTTGTAAAGCTGCAAGTACTGATGAGTCATTAGTTAATCCTCAGTTGTAGGGAACTAGTCTAAGACATTTGGCAAATGCCTTCTCTTCCTTTGCTATGTAGTTAAGCAGCCAGAAAACTAGGCAAAGAGTTACATGCCATTATAAACATGTTTGACACACTTATGTTCACATAAAAGACTGTACATAGGTTGTTTATAGCAGCTTTATTTGTAACAGCCAGACCATCGAAGAGCTTTTCAGTGGGTGAATGATTAAACAAACTGTGGTTTATCCAAACCATGGAATATTACTCAATAAAAAAGAACAAACTCTACCTGGCTGGTGTGGCTCAGTGGCTGAGCATCCACCCATGAACCAGGAGGCCATGGTTTGATTGCCAGAGTTGCAGGCTCAGTCCCCAGTAGGGGGTGTGCAGGAAGCCGCTGATCGATGATTCCTTCTTACCATTTTTGTTCTTATCTTTCTCTCCCTCCCCAATTCTCAGAAATCAATTAAAAAATATAAATGTTTAAAAAAGAACAAACTAGACTGGTTTGGCTCAGTGGTTAGAGCATTGGCCTGCGGACTGAAGGGTCCCAGGTTCGATTCCGGTCAAGGGTATGTACATTGGTTGCGGGCACATCCCCAGTGGGGGGTGTGCAGGAGGCAGCTGGTTGATGTTTCTCTCTCATTGACGTTTCTAACTTTCTGTCCCTCTCAATTCCCCTCTGTGTAAAATCAATAAAATATATTTAAAAAAAAGAACAAACTAGTGGATACATGCTACAACCTGGATAAATTCCAGAGAATTATATTGAACCAAAAAGCTAATCCCAAAGGTTATGTATCATATGATTCCATTTATATAATATTCTTGAAATTACAAAATTATAGAAATGGTGAACTAATTATTGGTTTCCAGGGGTTACAGAAGTGGAGGGAGGTTGTGTGTGTCTATAAAAGGGCAACACAAGCAATCCTATGTCATGACTGTATTGATGTCAGCATGTTGGTTGTGATACAGTTTTTCAAGATGTTACCATTTTGGAGGAAATTGGGTAAAGGGCACAGTGGAATCTATCAGCATTAAGTTTTATAACCATACTAGAGGCCCAGTGCATGAATTTGTACATAGGTGGGGTCTGGCTGGCCTGGCCCCAATCAGCAGATCGGGGCCCTATCAGGGTCAGGATGGCTGGGAGGAGGGGCTGTAGGCAATTGGCTAATGGGCCCCACCCCTAATTGGAGGGGGGCTGAGGGTGGTGGACCATGTGGCCCTGCCCCTTAATGTGTTGGAGGGGCTGATCAGTGGCCAGTGATCTGGGGGAGGGGCCATGGATGGTTGGCTGGCCGGCCCTCCCCCTTTTGAGAGGGGGGGGTGGCAATAGGGGGCAGAGTAGGCCTAGGGGAGGGGCAGCAGGCAGTTGGCTGGCCAGCCCTGCCCCTGATCAAGGTGGTGGGAGCCCATTTGGGGCAGGACTAGCTGGGGGAAGAAGCCATGGGAAGTTGACCAGCCAGCCCCACCCATGGATTGGGCCAATTCACTAGCCGCAGTGGGCTTCATAGAGACTGGTTGTTACGGTTGTTACATTGTTCCTATTGCTGGCTTTTTATATTTATAAATGTGATTCTAAAATTATTTCAAAATAAAAATAAAATTTTAATTAAAAAATAACTTGTGCTGCTGTGTCTGAACTGAATGTCCTAGAACAAATTATCCAACCTAATTCAAATCATGAATAGGAGTATTTGTGGATATACAGCAATCATCATTCATCACTCTAAGAAGGAAGTAATCACTTTAAGTTGTAGACATTTACTTGTGCTTTTATTGTTTTTTTGTGGGGAGGTCAAAACAGAGCAATTCTAAAAAAAAAAAAAAAAAAAAAAAAAAAATGCAAGTGTTTGAGCCAAACTAAACTATACCTACAAAAAGAATGATTTAAACAAGCTTCAGAAGCTCTTAAATTGTGAGCCATAACTTAATAATCTGATGGAGAATGGGATAGTCTTTACTCATAAATGCATGACTTAGTGAAGATTCACATGAGTAATCATCCATTCTCTCTCCTCCCTCATCTACCAGTCTCTGCAGATGCTTCCAGGAAAGCCTCTGGAACAATGAATATATGAGAGTTCAGACGTGAAGGGAGGACAAGTTGCTATAAAGGCAAGAATGAAGCTTATTCTAAAATTTGCCCATGGCAGCCTTTACTAAGCCTCTGAGAGCTGACTTCAAAGACAGACTATTAAGCAAAGCTAATCTGCCTGTTAGGGTAATATTTATTTCTCATCATTTCCATAGAGTGCAGAGACTTTACACTTCATATCCAGAAGGGAAAGACCAACTCTCCAACTTGCTCTTTTTCAGAAAGGAGGAGTGACTCACCTTGTGGGTAAATTCCTTCCTGTCTGCATTTCTTTGATTTCAGCCAAATCCTGGCTTCCATAGGCCAGCTGCAGGGAAACCTGAAGCTGTCCACCTCTGCATCAGGCCCTGGTGGACAAGTCCCTCTAAGTTAGGGGTAAGATGTTTGGTAACCCAATGTGCTCACATATCTTCTAATCCAGCTATTTTTCAATAATAAAGCTTTTTTTTTCTTTACCTTTATCTGAATTCTGTGTCTCTCAGTTAAATAGGGGAAGAATCCTCCTTACCACATTCCACGAAATCACAAAATACCTTTCTAGAATCCTGTACAGTTAAAACCAAAGAACATATTAGAGTTTGGTGTATTTGAAGCACCTCCAGTAAGAAATAAGTTTACCAATGACCAGAAGATATTTTGGGAGTGTGTAGGGGGAGGGGAGTTATTATGAAGTGTACTACATACAAAACAGCACAGAAGACAAATATACAGGTCAATTAATTCTCTACCCCCAGGTGAACATCCGTGTAACTACTAGTAACAGTTTAAAGAGGGCACTGCCAGATCCCAGAATCCCCTGTCTTTTCCTTCACCATCTCTACCTTCTCCCTTACAAATTACCCCATTCTGATGTTTTAACACCCAAGCCTGTGCCCTTAAACATTATAGTTTTGCCTGCTTTTTGAAGTTTATATTAGACAGAATTATACAGTATTCTGCTCTCTGTTCACTGCTTTTATTTTGCTCCACATTGACTGCTTTCATTCTATATTATGTTCAAGATCCATGTCTGTTGCATTTGGTGTGCATTGTTCATATTCTTTCCTGCAGAAAGTTCCATTGTTTGCATACACAGCTTATCCATTCTATGGCAAGTGGATATTTAGATTGGTTTTAATGTTTTTCCATTACAAATGACACTGTCCTGAACATTCTTGTACATATTTTCTTGGTGTTCATGTGCTTGAGTTTCTGTTGAGTTATTGTTTAGTGCTATTTCGTTGTGGTTTTAACTTGCATCTCCTGATTACACCTTTTCTTACATTTATTGATTAATTCCTCTTTTGTTTAGTGCCAAGTCAAACCTCTTGCCCATTTTTCTATTGCGTTGTTAAAAAATATATTTTTTAATATGAATCTTGAGAGTTTTGTGTATTGCAGGTTTCTTTTCTACTATCTATGACTTGCCTTTCACTGCTACTATCTATGACTTGCCTTTCACTGCCTTACTAGTGTCTTTTGCTAAAGTATCTAAATTTTAATGTACTCAAATTTACCACTTTTTATGATTATTAATTTTTGTGCAGTGTCACAACACATGAAGATATTGTCCTATACTAACTTGTAAAAGTTATAGAATTGTAACCGTGGGACAGTTAGAGAATTCTTCTCTGGGACAACAGAAGAATCTAGAACCCCTGATGCTGCTAACAGAGGGAATTTGCACCTACTCATAGGCTTTTCTCTATGGGCCTCACTGGGTGCAGAAGAGAGTAATTGAGCATGGGGCAGGGACCGGAAAAGCCTTCCTTAGTGGTAGGTCTTGGAAGAGGAGAGAAGCTGCCTCTGTGACAAAAACACAAAGCCCTGCCTGACCCTCTTTCTCTGTGAGATGAATGCCATAAGTCATGGGAAGGATAGCAGAACTTGGCCTCAGATGATGGCTGTGGAAGAGAAAATAGAAAAACCCTCAATTCCCAAGGGAGGAACAGGAACCCATCCTGGCCCTTGGCCATTAAAGATACATATACTATCCTGGGAGAGGCGAGGGGGGGGACCCCTGAGAAAGCCCAGCTACCTTGCTGGAACATAGGACTTGGTGGACCAGGACAACAGAACCCTCAACCCCACAGCAAGCTAGCAAGCACTCTGTACCAAGCAACAACAGTTTGCTGCTGGAGGAGGGAGCAAGAATGTGAATAGAGCCGAAACCGGTTTGGCTCAGTGGATAGAGCGTTGGTCTGTGGACTGAAAGGTCCCAGGTTCAATTCCGGTCAAGGGCATGTACATTGGTTGCAGGCATATCTCCAGTGGGGAGTGTGCAGGAGGCAGCTGTTCGATGTTTCTCATCAATGTTTCTAGCTCTCTATCCCTCTCCCTTTCTCTCTGTGGAAAATTAAAAAAATATATTTTTAAAAAAGAATGTGAATAGAGAAGGTCAAAAACTAAAGGTGGAATGGGAACTAAGAAAAATATCTTTTGGCCACCCATCCTTCAACTTAAGCAAAAGGTAATACTGTAGAAATTTGAAGCCAGTAATGCGTGAAGGTAGCTGTAAGCACAATAAAACCTAAATAAGATCAACTCCTGATCAATTTGACTTAAGCCTGCTCAGTAAGGTCTAGAAAAAGTAGCAGCATACCCATATTTAGCCATAAATACTATTTACCTCAGTTTCTACTACCAACTCATGATAACCAGTATTAATTAAAAAGTTATAGGACATAAAAAGGAAGAAAAATCAACCCTCTATCAAGAGATAAGGTATCAAACGAACCAGATACT